CAGAGCTTGCATGTTTTGTCAAACGAACCTGTGATAATTTTGTCACTAGAGCAGAAGTGTAAACATAATGCAAGATGAAGAAAACAAGATGGTAACGTTGCACACCCATAAGGATTATTGAAAGCGATAGCGTAGACGACATTCTTGTGACCCTCTAATGTCAGTAACTCGTCACCCGTTTGGGTATCCCACACTTTACATGTGCGATCATAGCTGCCTGTGATAAATCTGGGCAAAAAATGAGTTAGAACAAGTTGTAGATCGAAAGATTTTGGATGCTTGCTACAGTACAAAATCATACTTGTCTCCAGATTTGTTGAAGGCACAATTTGTTAATGGAAGAATATGAGCACGCAAAATCTTAAACAAGTAGAAATCATTGCTGTCGTTCACTTCGAGCTTTTCGATTAGTTCTGTAGATAAATAGTGTTAGCAATTATGTCCATCACCAAATATAAATTTTTCTGTGCTCACTGTATAAAAGACGTCGAAGTTGTGGCTTGCGGGAGTCAGAAATGAGTGGTTCTTCAGATACAATCTGGTTGATCAAAACCTCGATGTCGGACCTGAGGATTTATTAACAACATTTTTGAGACTGTGTAATATATGTAATAGACGAAGTACTTTGTGACCATACTCGGCGTTGAGGTGCAGCAAGTCAATCTCCTTCATCTCGCGTGTGCCATCTCGTAGCTCGTACTCAAGTATAATTCCAGGCGGGTAATAACGTAGCAAGAATCGTTTCAGCTTCATAATTGCGAAGCGTTGGGTTAGGTAGTGCTTGACTCGGTGCGACTCTTGGATTGCACATGAGATCGAAGCAAAATAATGGAGCATAACCTATCCATTTTGTGAAACCACGCAGCTTATTTGGTATCTGAGACTGAAATACCATCTTGCTACGATAGCATCCTGGCTTTATCTACTCCGACGTCTACTACCATTCTGCCAGTGTACTCTGTCACTTAAACTGCCATAGGTTTTCAAGCAGTGCGGTCGTGTGTGTGTGCGTGATAGCTGGGGACCACCACAACATTGAACGATGCACGATGAAATATTCAAGAAAACAGTCATACGGATTTTCGTTAAAACGATGGATTTGACGCAAGAATTTGAACGGCTTTGATGAAAATATTTCTCGTGCCTTGCACACTACTGTGCATGCACCCAGTAATTCGTTGAAAAATTCTTGGTGTTGTTTACCAATGCCCTAACGCGTTTCACGTATCGCTCCTAGCCACCTGAAGTATGCAGGCATTTGATAAAATGCTTTTGATCTCATTTTATTCGAGCGCTTCATTCGTCACACCAGCCGCTTACAAGCGAACCTTATCTTGTAAGAACTGTATCATAAAAAAACTGGTGACACGACTTTCCTCATGAACTATTTCAGCGAGCATTAAGGAAGGTGTCTACGAAACATTCTGATTCTCAGATCAACCGATACGTGCCCGGCACAAGTGAGTTGTCTGACTGAAGCCAACAAAACCTGTGCACTACAACGAAGCCATCTAAAGGATAACAAGATCAAGAAGATGGATCTGATATGTGCACAATTCAGCCTTGTAGCGTATCGAACACAGCACGAGTTGCCAATCGCACAATTGGACCCTAAGCTTTCTATTGAATGGCGATTGTGAGTCCTTAAAGGCTGCATATGTGCCGAATCATGCGTGATTAAGTCCTATTTTGCTTGAATTAGCAACTGAATTGACTTTTTCATTATTACGTCGATCTGGAATGCAACGCGACGCATAAGAGTTTCTATCACATGAATATGCGGGGCGATATTGATTAAATCGCTGTTCTAACTTTTCGACGCTTTACCGTTGACATACAGCGACAGCTGAGGCTGCTTTGCCGACTTAGGGACAGTAGCGTCAATCTTACGCTGCTTTGCCGACTTAGGGACAGTAGCGTCAATCTTACGCTGCGCGGCAAGGTGCCGCAAGTAGTGAATACATATGATGTGGATTCGATAAAGACGTAGATCTGCTCTTTTCTGTTGTAGCCTCTCACGTGGATTATCATGCACTCGGGTGCTGCTTTGTCTACACCTTTATTGTCATTGGTGGATGAGACTACAGATTGTAATCTTCGCAAGATTGACCCCCGAGTCGATGCAATGAAGTCACGCTGGTCATCGAATCGTTGCAATCGTAGAGGCCATGGCCCTGTAAGCATAGTGGAATAGTTTATATTCTAAATTTGGCAAGGCCCAATTCATTAGGCTTAGCGTTTGAGCAAGCAATATCATGACAAACCATGGAAAAGATACTTAGAGTGATGAAGGGCCAACAGTCGAAGAAGGGACTAGCTTTTAATCCATGCAAGCAAATTTTGTGACATCGCTGAGTTCAGTGTATAACTTAAATACGTAAGATACTCGCCTGTCTAAACTGTTAAGTCAGATGACAAAACAAAATGGCTTCAGACCCAGAGATTTCTGAGTTGACTAATTCGTCAGCGACAGCTGGTTAATCGGGCAATTTAACTACTAAAATTTATGGGTTCGATCGGAAGCGACGATGACATGCGTGCGTTCGAAGCAACACTAAATTTCGTGGAGGAGTATCCCAGCGATGCTTTACACTCGATGGAGCTGCCCACCCTCTCAATCACATCGGACATGTTTTCGTTTCACTGTGACAATCAGCCTCTAAAACGCGACATCGTCCCGTCGCTTACTGACTCATTCACTGATACTCTGACTATGGTATCGACCGAATCAACCGGTCCGTTTTTCATGGACAACTCAAATAAAGTTCCTTTTAAATCACAATCATCAACATCACAAAAGTCGATTAAAAAGCGAAAATCGCAAACCAACTCGAACAGGGCACGTAATGAGCTTCGTTTTGAGCTTGCATTTCTCCGTGAAAAGGTGACGCAACTGCAAGACGAATTAAAGTCGTTACAATCGACTGAAGATGAACAGATTTGTAAAGGAGGAGACTCAACGAAGTTTGCTGCCAAGATCTCTGGAAGACGTTCTCGTCCTTCGTCGGAAGTTCTTTGTGCGTGGAAGGGACTCGCTAACAGACAGTTACAACGTCGTATCGACTCGGAACGTGAGAATTCGCGCCTCAGACTCAATGTGGAACACCAGCGGAAAATTGCTATCGACTTGACCAAGCTTTTGCGGAAACGAGTGAGAAGATTCTTGCGTTTTAAAAGTCATTCACTGAGTGCTTACTTGCTAGGATGTTGCAGTTGGCAGAGTGTGCAGAGACGCAAGATCCAAGTGTCAGGATGAATCGTTTCACTCGAGTCTTAGACTACCACGGTGACTTGGCTGAATTCCAGGAGCTGTTTCTGCTCTTGGAAGATACTTATCACGATTTAGATGCTGTGCTTGAGGAGACTGGCCTAGCAACGATGGACATTCCGACACAGGACGTACACATCCGTGAAGGCGTTGGAGGTAAATATGTTGAATTTTTTGCAAACAAGGTGCTTCCTTTCGGTCTGAGTGCTACAACGGAGGCCGCTTGGGATCACTTCAAAGGTATTGAGAAACATTGCGGTAATGGTGAGCTGTACGAGAAAGCTGCAAGGGTACGTTCGACGACCTTATTGATGAAATAGGCTTTTTTTATAATCTTAATCACTATGTTATTTAGAGTCTTGACCAGCCTTTCACAATTATCGAAGACTTTACGAAAGAGGTTTACTCAAATAATTCCCGAGCAGACATGGAGATGAAGCAGATTGTGCGACGCTACGTCGAAGCAGACCGGGATGTTATCATATTCGTCTGTCGTGGAAAGCCTATTGAGATTCGACATAAGGCGATTGCTGGACTGGCTTACCATCTTTGTAGCTACGTCGTCACTAAGCGTGCTCCAGCTTCGACTGCTGATCATAACTTGTCGCTTCTGCAAATATGCTCACGGATATCGATTGACAAAGATGCTGGCGTCGAGGATGATCCAGTGCGTGTTCGGGCGCTGACCAGGTTTTTAATCGGAAATACGTCCGGTAATCTTCGATGCTACCAGGAACGGATAGAAAATGCGCTGGTAGATCAAGCGCTGAAACGTCAACTTTAATCGACTGGAATTTGCGATTTTATTTGCACAATACAAATGTAAATACAGATCTATACATAAATTGATCGTTTGATCAGACAATTTTTTTTAACGAGATTCGTCAAGTTAGACGCATACAATAACGGCGACGTATCAGGCATCAAAGGCCTCTTTATTCGTTGAATATGCCTTACATAGACACCTTTTGATATCAGTCATGACCAAGTCTTTCTACAGTTAATAATCTTCTTAAGTCACTTTCTTAATTTGTATTCACTCAACGCCTTAAATAAAACCTCGGGATGGCTCAAACAGGCATAATCAATAAGATGTACTCAAGCGAGATTAAGCTTCTATCAGAGCCGACAATGGAAAAGAAAACACACTGCATTTTTCAATTGTGACTTCTGTGTCAAGCATAGGAACAGGAATAAATACTCTTCACCGATCGTATTATTGTACTTTGTTGGTCATAAAAGTTCGATTTTTTTATAAGAGCACTTAGAAACATTGAAGGTGCGTCCTCATTGATGTTTTTTTCAATTTTACGGTCTTCATTGTAGTCTAATTCAATGACACTCTGGCAACAGTTAGACCAATGTGTTTCAATACACGAATTGTCTTGCAGTATCATTTGATGCTATTCGTTGAGTTTCTATCGCTACTGGCTATATTTGCTTTTAAAAGAAGTATTTTTCTGCTGGCTACGTAATCCTAATACACTATTGCTTTAAATCCGCAAAATCAGCACATTCTATTTGACAAATAGTAAAAGTTAGTCTATTGGTCTCGCCCTACTAACGGTGCCGCTGCGGTATTTTTGCGCTTTCGGAGCCGCAACAAATGACATGACAGTCGCTGCATACGTTGACGCAATGTACTCTCGTCAAGATAGTTTTCACGCGATGTGGCGGTTGTGAACATGAGTCGTTCAATCTTTAATGCCAGCGTCAAGATTCGGGAAGGCCAGTCGCAATTTTCAGGAACTTGTGTGAGAATGTCGTGTGGCTGATGATTGCGCAGTAATCTTTCAATCCGGATCACGTTTTGCAATCGAAGTTGTCGAGTTTCGTCACTTGTGTGTCGCCAGTTACTTGTCTTTGATTCGCTGGTATTGCTGAGTTGTGACTCGACGGAGGCGCTACAACTGACATTAGTAGAGCTCTGTAAGACTGCCGTTTCGAGATGGAGACTGTTTGAACGAGCAAGTGACACTGTGCCTGAATCAGTTGAGTGGTTGTTGCATGTCCTTCCGGGCACACTCGATTCATCACGCTCTTGAGTGGGTATAGGATAACGTGTCTCGTTCATAAATATTGTCACGGCGTCGGGGGTCAACGCAATAAAAGGATCAAAGCAACGATTGCAATGTCTGTGTGAAGTTTTCACACTGTATAAATCTGGTACAAGTGCGCGATTGCTGCTGAAGCGATCTTGAAGCAAAGTACTGCGACGCATGAAATACTTTTACTAGCGTCATCTCAAACAATGTACTGTTTGTTTCAATCAATGTATTGAATTTCTCGAATGGGGTCATAGACACGTATAGGACATCTAGCTCGTGTTTTTGTAGCGCTGTCTTAGTGATTGGATATAATCGGGAATAAAGGGTAAAAACGCTGCAATTTTGCACTACGGGCGCAACGCAGCAGGGGCGGTTGAGGTTAGTGCGACAGCGAGTACATCTGTAATCTTCGCTATATAAGTACGTAAACAAGCTTTAGACTATTGACATTGTTCTTTGTTCCATACTCTCTGCCGTTTACAGAGTGTGCATCAATACACTGTTGTACTACTGCAACCGGGTGTATTTGGTACATTCTACCAAATCAATATTCGGTGAGTTGCCTATTGCGTACGTTGATGCCAAAGGCATAGTAGATGTTATCGCTACTTATCGAGGACTGATTTGATGTGCGAAACGACAGCTTATAACCACCAAGCTCAAGTTTTCACAACCTATTGCGCAAAGAGGTGCGACTCCATCGATCGTATCTTTGTGCCGAAACGTTCAGTCCATAAATGATGTTGGCTTCGTTGAATTATTAGAAAAGTTCTGGGTGATGTTGTACTTTGCCTTTCTAATGAATAATTCTCTGCTGCAAAAACATGTACCACACCTCAACGTTGACGTATTTTTCACGTCAAACTTTTCCTATTGTAAAGGCGTTGTCCATATCTCGGATGATCAATCTCCTGAATACACGTACCCTGAACTTTTTTTCCACTTGGGTGACTGAATCAGATCTCAGGACGAATTCTACTACGATGCGTGGAATGCAGAATTAATATGATTTGGTCAAGATTACAACCTTTCGAGAATGTTTGATATGAGGAGAGCGCCATTAAGGTCCACGTAAAACTTAAAATGAGTACATTCACGTGGTATACAACTCTCTTACGACAATAACACAATCGGAAAGTCATCGCGTTCATTTTACGCGAAAATTCACGAAATCCGAATCTGAAATTTCATGTACTTTTTATATTTCACCTTGTGGATTTCAAATACGGCAGGATCGAGGCTGAGCCGTTAATACAGAAACAATTGATACTGGTACTGCGTTCGTCAGTTTTGTACGTCTGATGCATTCATCAGCAGAAAGTCGCGCAATTTACGAGTCCACAGCATAGTCGACTTCTTCAATAGATGTAATGTGAACTTGTGTACTGATTCAATCCTTACACATTTGTCCTTACGATTTCATATACAAGACACACGGCGTAATTGTAAGTATTAATAAATATCGGAATATCGGTATCAATTAAATTATAAGGCACATCAGAAAAGAAAGTCAGTTTGATTATAAGATATATAATTTTATGTATCAGTCCAGTATGTACTTCTGAGATAGCAGAGCAAACTACTATTGCTAATTATCGTGGAGGCTCTCGGTTCGCTCCTGAGAGAAGCGCGCAGACTCACCTTCCGTGCGATTGCTAAAGGGTGTAACGGGGTTGCACGAGTCTGGTGGGTCACACAAGATGGTGTGATCTGGGTTAAACAAAATGGTGCGACCACACAATGGTGTGGCTACACTTAAACAAGAAGTCAGTACGTGGCTGGAACAGCCAGTAGTTATAATTAATTAGGTTCTACTAAATAGATAGGAAAACCTATAGATTTAGATATAGCGGCTTTGCCGCAAATAAAACCGAGAAATACAGTTACTTTTAAACGAAAGAGTTAATTAGCAACGGGGTTACACGTACCTTTATAAGAAAGGGCGGATTGTGCGACCGTACATAAGGTGTGCATACACACAGTTAGTGTAATCACAAAGTGCTGTGGCTACATCGTTACAAGAAGCCTCCACGTGGCAGGATTGCCAGCAGTAATGCATATTACTATATTAATTAGGTTCTGCTATATTAATTAGGTATTCCTCTATCAATTAGGAAAACCCAGATTTTAAAATATTGGCCGCTGCAGCAAGGCTGCCGTAGCTTTGCGCTTTGAGGAAGCGTAAGTTAGGTCACCGAACTTCGTTCTATACTCAGAACAAGTACGAGTTTAGCGAT